GTTAAGGAAATACCAGTTTTTGAGGCCAGAATAATATCACTTTGAAAACATGAACCACCACAGTCCTTTTACACTGCATATTGATAAGGGCAGGCAAAATCCTGGCAGACCATGCTGACAAAAGCCAGGACAGCTTTGTAACATGCACATGCACTCAGAAATGCATAAAAGTGAAAGGGAATATTTGCAAAACCTGCATTCATGTTGCCTTGTGACAGCCAAACCAATCCTGGTAAATACAACCGCCAGTTTTCACAATGGATATGATTCTCATCTAATAAATTACATACTGAAGAGAACAAAAACCCAGTTTTCCAGTTGTGACCTGCTTGCATCACCCCCGTACAACTTCTGCCATATGGCTGAGCACCTGCACGTGTCTCAGTCCACAGACCAGGTAGCCAAGGCTTCCTGAGCAAAGAGCAAGTCTATGGTCACCCACACCACCTCCGCGTGCAATTCCAGATTAACAACCACCACAAGTCACCTGAGACATGAGAACATATTCACAGAAAAGTGCCAGATACCTGATAATCTGCAGCACCACCAGGCACACTCTGCCCCTTCCTGCACAAGGCATCTCCACACACTGTAATTTGTTTCAGCTGCCTGATCGGCTTCCCCTGCAGTTCAGGAACTAAAGCCATGCAGGTGGATGAGATGGGAATACAGAGATTTTCATTTGTAATCAGAGGGTCAGCTGAAAATCATTCCTACCTGCTATTTAGTGATGCCTATGGAAAGGACTTGGAGCCAACATGCCTATTTACAAGGAGCAGGGGCTAAGTGAAGACTCGAGTGAAGCAGGGCCAGCCCTCGCAGCCCTGTGCTCACAGCTGCAGGAGGCAGCGACCCCGGCTTTAATGCGGGGCTGCTGTTCCCAATCCACCCGCGTCTCCTGGACGGATGCCACAGTGACCCGGCTTATCTTAGATGTGAAAATAAGACTTCAAAATTCCGCAGTGCAATTACATTACCAAAAAAAAAAAAAAAAAGCATCCGATTCATCTGCTGGGGAGGGTTGCTACAAGTTTGCCTACGGAATGGAGCAGCCAAATGAGCCCGTTTTAAAGGCAGGATGCGTGTGTAAAGGAAGCGAAGGGGCTGTTTTGGGTGGGAGTAGCCTTGCCTGTGCTTTGCCATGTAAAGCAGCCCGTGCAGGTGCACGGGGAGAAGCCTCTCCAGCTGCAGCGCGGCACGAAGCGCCCGGAGCCACAACCAAGGGCCGCGAGGAGCTGCCGGACTCGGCCCTTCCCACCCCGTGAGCTCGGTAACAGATTTTGTTGGGTGTCACCCACGGAGCCTTTCATCTCCCGAGAGGCCTCTGGACCGCTTGGTTGAAAGGGGAGCAGATGACTCCTACCCAGCTTCACAAGCCCCTGTATGAGGTTTTATACCCGAGTCCCCAGCTCCTAGTCCTGCAAACACCTTCCAGCTAAGAAAACACTCACTGCTATGAAGGGAGGAACCTGCTGATTGCCCAGAAAGCTTGAAACCCGGAGCCCTGACAGCCAGGCAGGGGAATGCAAGCAGTGTTTAAAAAACAACCACAAAGAACCTCTTTTGGGATGCATGTAAGGCACAGTTTGGGTTATCAGTACTGGTCAGCTTGGCAAGGGGCTCTGAATATTCAGAGTTAGAAACTTCTGAGCAGCAAGGATATCACAAGGAAACAGCACGGAATGACCAGCGAACATTCCCAGCTCCGTTCTTACACCAGATCTGCGTGGTAGGGCTCCTTCTAAACTCACTGAGCACAGAAAGGAGGAACTTGGTGCCCATCAATTACCTTATCGTGAGGATACAACCTCCTGCTTCCTGCAACCAGGAGCATGGGGAAAAAGAAACTTGACTCAAAAATCTAAAATAAAATAAAATAAAATAAAATAAAATAAAATAAAATAAAATAAAATAAAGATTTCAGGAATGCTGGAAGGCAGACACTGGCAGCGCAGTGGCACAGGGAAAACCTCCTGCCAGCAGCAGCTTGGCCCTCACGCCTGCGCTAAGCTTGCAGGACTGAAGTCTTTTAAGTAGTTATAAGTGACTGTCTTTTTGTCTACCGGATTTAAAAAAAATCAATTTTTATTCAGATTGATTTTAAGATTTACATGTGAAAAATGGATGAAATTGGATCAAATATATACTAAAACAAATTGTTGACTCCCATGAAAGCCAATAAACCCCAAGCAAATTTCCCAGATCTCCTCTACCAGCATTTGAGATTGGTTTTATTTCATTATTTTGCAAACATTTACGGAGCAGAAATTTGCTCCGCTCTCTTGCAGTTCTCCACTGCTGAAACCACGCGCCTCCCTGCAGAATATTTTGTGCTTGGATACTATCACCCGGATAGCATATGGCAAACCAGCAGCAGGCACTTTATCTTCATCCTCTTTGTAAGCTAAAATTAGCACGTGCTTTTGCAACAGTATATGATGTATGCAGAGCAGTGCGATATACCTAATACAGCGGCAGCGCCATCCCTGGCTGGCCTCCAGTACGCCAGTAAACTGATTAGTAATTTTAATCGTGTATTAGTGTATTTACTATCGGGTTGATATCTATCTGCTCGAGGGGACGTGCCCGTATGAGCTGCTCGGCCGGGTTGCTTGGCTGAAGGCCGCGGAGGGTCGTGCTCGGCGGAGCCGCGGGGCTGCTCCTTGCTCTGCTCCCCACCAGCCTCGGGGCTCCGCGTTCCCTGCGGATTTGGCTTTCCCGAGCTCCAAAGATCCCGCTCGCGTCCCCGCTTCCTGGTCACTTGTGGCCCCCTCCGGCTCTTTGGCTTTATCAGATCTGTGGTGAGAGACTAACGTCCATGCGAGCTCGTACCCGGGAGCTGCAGCACCGGGGACCTTGGCCCAGCACTGCCCCAAAGGAGGCGGGAAAGGCCCCGGGGGAGCCCCGCTCTGCCATACAGGTGCCTGTGTCCCTGCTTTCC